TCTACTTTTCTATTTGTTTTTATTTTTCAAGTTATTTCTATATTGTACCAACTTAGCAGACTTTCATTAAGGGACAAAACCCAACCTTGACCTATGTGACCTTGCAGGCACTCATGTCTTTTTCCGATGGGTAAGAGGACATTACAATGGGAAATAATATGCATGCTTATTATAATTGCACTCTGTATTCAATTAGAATATTCTGACATACTATCTTTTAAAATAAGAGGGGATACTTGAAAAAGAAAACAGACTCATTTATCCTCATCTATTTTGAGCAATGTTCAGTGAGTTTAACTTTTTAATGGAGAGTCTCAAAGTAATGAGCTAGGACTTGGATTTTTGGTTGAGTCTGGAAAACAGATAAATCATTCTTACGTCTTCTTTCTGAATTTACTCTCTACAAGCAGTCAATTTATTTTTCATAAAAACTGTGAGATTAATTTTTTTCTATATACATGTAGGTATTTGATAAATATTCACAAAGATATAGAATTCAGTTGATGTGTCTACAGTGATTTTCAAACTCTAAAGTATATCATCGAACTAATGAGCCACCATTTTAAAGCATTGGGCTATTTGGCTCTAAAGAACGCTAATATTTTTAAAACATTATCACCATGTTTCCTTTTTTTTACAGTATACACTTATTTTACAAAGCCACATAGGAAAAAAAAAAAAGCCCAATTCAGCTACTTCAATTTTTATTTAATTGGAAGATATTTTATCTTATTCTTGAGCAATAATATTTTACCTGTCTCACAACTGAATTATGTTTTAACACAATAAGGTAGGACAGCCTGAAAAGAAATAGGTATTTATATAGTAATATTTGCCTGTTCTATTTTCTTCAAGTTTTAATTGAAGTTTTTTTATTAGGAAAATACACTTTTTCCTTTTATTCTCAGTATAGAAACATAAATCTGTTGGCATAATGTAACAAGACAATACTTGCTGCATAAGGTTAATGCTGATTTAATAGAAATTTTATTTTTCATCAAATAATTTTATATTACTTAGGTTGAGAAGCATGGGTTAAAGAGCCTCTTAGAAAACAAAAATGGAACATAAAAATTGTCACTGAGAGTGAAAAATTACTGATGATGAAGCATGTTTTACAAAAACAGTTTTCATTTATTTATTACCATGAGGTGTTAATAAAACAGGCAAACAGATCAATTTTTCACCACAAATGTCACTACATATTTATGTCTTTGATGCCAAAACAGCAAAGTGTCGGTTCATTTTTCCCTTGAGTAAATGTGACCATCTCCTTCAAACATTCTATAAAACGCATGTACAAATGTAATTTCACCCAAACTGGTTTGGGATTTAGATTTTCTTGACATGATTTATCATAACTTTTTTCTCCTTAACCTTATCCTGGTTTTATTTGCTCCCATGTCTATCTTGAATCCATGCAGAATAGAAAGACTCGGGTAATGAAATTTTTTTATTTACCCCTCAGAAGTAGTTGTGCTAGGATTCCAAAACACCCTTACATTTCATTAAACATCCTCCAGTATAATTTTATCAAGGTAATAGAATAAATGGATTTTCTGTTCAATTACATTAGTCTCTTAGTTTCAAGCACTTGCCAATAGTTTTTTGTACCCAAGTTTTCATATATTCTATTCAAGAAACACAATGGTCACTGTACTTGAGCTATTTACTCCACATATCTTCTCCCCACTCAGAACTGTCAGCCTTCTGAAATAATTAACTTCAAATTTATTACAGTCTGACCATTTCTTCTTCTCTTTCCTATGGTTACAATGAAGTGAGAGCCCTTCTTGTATTTAATGCTAAATCTCTGAGTTGTGTTCAGAAACTTATCCCTTCATACCTACTCAGAAATACCATCCAACAAACTACTGCCTGAATACTCTGAAGCTGAATTTATCCTCAGAGAAAGTGAGTCCTGATAGTAACTCCATAAATGCATCTTTTTAAAATGATTTCACTGATGTAATAAATAAGTTTTAAATTTCAATTCATGCCAAATATTTCAATTCTGATAAACAGAAGATCTATGAAGAAGCTTCAGCTCTCAACTTACAATACATCCTCTTTTTATCTTTCTAATGTCCTTAGGAGTCTTTTATTCTAAATTTGTTTATAAGAAACAATAAATGTATTTTAAAACAGAAAAGTCTAAAAGGATTCTAAACAAAAAAATGTTTTCATGGAGATTGATACTAATGCAGTGATACCTTAAAGCCTATTTTCTTCTAAAAACTGTTTTCCAAAGCCCAGGGCCAATTTTAGGAAAAATTGCTTTTTGAAACATCCTTTAAATGGTATCATGAACAGCCTGGAATGAAATGACTTGAGCACATTTGAAATTAAACAGAAAACAAAATCACGAGATATACTTCTTTGAACAGCTGGCCACCTAAAATTTGTCACACTATCACATTTTATGGGTCACACCCCTAAGTTTCTCTTTATAATATTCTGCTTCTTTTCTACATCTTAGATTATTATGGGGAAATGCCTAGTTATTTTATAATAATTTAGGTTCTTTGTTCCTTTAGACAAAGATAAACAAGGCTACTGAAACCAGGCTTGGCAGTGTGATGTGGTACAGATATGATATTAAAACAGTCCTTTGGCTGACTGATCTTTATACCTTGGCTATTCCTACTAAGTTTAAATGAATTACTTTATGAGAAAAGAGGAATGGTTTGCCCACCAATGAAGTAAATATAAAGCTTTTATTTTCAGAATCTGACTAAAACAGAAGAGTTTATTGAAAAGTAAATCTAAAATATTTAGCAGCTGAGAGCTTGTAGTGGATTATGTCATGATAAGTTGATAACTTGAACAAAGTAGTAAGAGGGACATCTAGTTAAATTTTAAATGATCCAACTCTTTTTACACTTGAACAAACCATTTCTGTTTGCTCATCTGGGTGTGGCGAGCAAGGAGATATGGTGGGAAAAGACAAGAGGGGCAATCAGGTCCTGTTCTAGATTGTCACTTTTGTTCTTTGAATATGATTTAAATCCTTATGAATTTACAGTGTATGTTTTCCATGCATACACTTCCAGGAAAGAATGAACATGCGCTAGATGAAGACCTTATTCTCTTTTCAACAGAAAGATACATAAACCATGCATAGGAGAGCATGAAAATTTTAGACCTTAAGAACACAAGCTATTGTTTCTGAAGTATGTTTGATAGTGCAATGCAGATCATTAGCTGAGTTTTTTTTTTTTTATTTTCCTATAATGGAGACTCTTGGGATTTCTAATAACCAGATGTAATTCTTCATCATAAATTTAAGAACAGTCTATCTGGTCAACAGAATCTAGAACATTCCAAACAATACACTGACTACTATAATGAATTCCCCAGAACTCACATGTGTGCTTTATATTCAGACAATGTAATGATATATGACAGTTACTTAGAATTGGAACCTGTTTATGCCTTTGCTCTTTAGTGGATGAAATTATTCATCCACTCAAAAAATGTTTATTGAGATTTTGTATACTTCAACTAACAATTATCTGTATTTTTTTTTTAAAATTAGCACTAATATAAGTGGATTGTCTATCCTGGAACCATTTACCATGTGGGATATTTAGATAAAGAACAATGAATGTATAAACTGATGGTGATGGCAAACATAAAAATCTATCATTGGAATAAAAATCTAAAAATATCATCATTATGTTGACAACAGATATTAAGAATTATGTAAGCATGAAAAGAGCACATGTCTAGATATAAGCCTAGATATGATACAGGAAAATCAACCAGAACACAGTTAAATGTAAATCTTAATATAGAAAATTGGAAGCAAGAGATCAACACTAAAAGAGTGTTCTAACTTAGAAAAGCGAGGACAGAGACTTTATGGAGTAACAATATAGGTGTCAGTGGAACTTTAGCTGCATTTGGAATATTTGTTCAGTGATAGTCTCTTGATATAGTTTCAAGTCATAATAACCAGCCATTGCCAATTTGGTTTAGCAAGAAGGAAGGGGATCAAATGAGAATCACAATAGAAAATGTTCGGTTCTCATGTTATTAACCATATTTTATAACATTATGCATATGTATTTATTTAAGTCGTCTACACAATGTCTAATCAATATCTTTTCCTATCTCCATTGGCCCTGCCCTCCATGTCTATCTCCATTTCCACTTCTACCTTGATTTCAAAGTCTGTTTCTTCTCTACATTGTCTTACTCTACCATCCCCACCTCCTCACATTTCAAAATTCTTCTAAAACAATGGATGTTCAATCCAACTAATACCTTGAAGTCAAGATTGAGTGCTACGTGAATAGAGACTGGGATACCATACAGAAAGCCTCTTGATTAAGACCCTTTCCTTTGGGAACGTGACACATTTCTTAATTTGGTAAAATTACAGGATTATAGTATTTGGGATATTTAAAACACACAGTTCTTGGCATGGGGGATGACTCTACATCATTTTTTTTGAACCATTATGATGCATCTGTTACATGTGACTGGAATATCAATCTCTCTCATTGACATACATTTTTTAAACTTTTTAAAAATTACAAATGCAGCACATATAGGACTTTTTTTTTTACAATTTCTTAAATGACATTATGTTTTACGCAGGGAAAAGGACAGGGCTCGCTAAATTCTTCATTTGTTTAAAGGAAGTAACTAGATATATCAAAATAAATTAACAAGATAATTTAGGAGAATAGAGTGAAGGTATTTTTCCTAAAAATGACAAATGACCCAAATTAAATTTATATGCAATCTGTCTGACTCTGAAGTCCCAGATTTAAATAGGTAACATCTCTCTTTCTGGTATGCAATGATAACTTGCACTTGTTTTCACTGGTTTGGTTTAGTTTGTTGGTTTAGTTGTTCCCAAAGGAAAGGAATGGTGCTCTAGCAGTTAAGTCAATATAACAGTGTCATGGCTGCTAGAGGCCTACCCCTTTATGTGTATGTCAATATATTTCTGGACTCATAGAAACTTGTAGAAAAGAGGATGAACTTACTGTTGAATCTGCTTCATCATGTATCTGCAGTTTTGGGGCTGCTTAATCCACTTGTCCACAGTTCATTTTAGTGGTCTGTTTGTGGAAAGCAAACAATGCAAAGGGTTTTCAGTATTTATATCACCATACCACATGCATGCTAGACTGCCTAAAATACTTTATACTAGCTTAAACATGCTGACTCATTTTCTTGAGATTCAAGTCTAGCATAATGTATTTTTAAAAGGACTTAAAAAAATCATTATTTTTGAAGATTTTACAGTTTTAAGAAAAGTTTTATTTCTTAGAACATAAATATGCTGTGAGGAATATAGTTTTGTTTAGAAGGAAAATAGAACTGATTTTTTACTTCCTATGGAAATGCAATTCAAAACACCATGCAAAATATAAATTTGAACTACTAAATCTGAAACTTTGGATCTAGGATCATAACATTACTGCAAAAATTCTTGTGGTTCCGATGGTTAAAAACTTGGCATTCATAGTTATGGAAACTCTGAAGTCTTTCTAATTTTGGAAAGTATGGGTGTGATAATTTAGTCTGGTTATGTTGAGCAAGAATCTTGTCTTTATCAAAGCTTAAGTTTCAAAATATGTGTCTGACATTTTTAAAGATGTAGCAGAGACCACATAGACTGCAGTGGAATATATAAATTATGTCAAATTTTATAACGTATATTGGTGAAGAAATATTTTACTAATTACTTACAAATTTGAATTGGAAAACTAAATATTAGGAGCTAAACCTCTTCTATACAGCAGTGTATATAATATTTCTCAAGGAGTTGAGGTTAAGAAACTTTCCCAGAACACATTGGACCCAGAGTCTAAACGAAATAACAATTTGCAGCAAAGGCAATTATCACATCCTACCCTTCCTGAGATACATTGAGATTACCTATTGCATTGAGAGTTATTGGGATGAGGAAATACTTGATCCCCAAAATGACCCTAACAATTCTAATCCTTGTACATAAGTTCCAATGAAATGTGACTTTGTTCCTTCTCTCATTAAGAGATATAATTTATTTTTATACCTCTTGAATATGGATTTGGCTACATAACTTGCTTTAGTGAATGAAACTAGAAAAAAAAATGATATAGAGGCTATAAAAGGATTTCCAATTTGTACCTTTTCTTCCACCTCCTTGCTAATTTGGAGAACAAAAGCCACGTGAATAAGCCCATTGGAGAACAGAAAATTAAGCGGAGGAAAACTAAGGCATAGCAGCCCATAGCCAATCCCTGCTGACCTGACTGCTCCATGGAATGCTGCTGGTGAGAACAGGGGAGACACACATTATCCCTTAAATTAGACTTGTTTTAAAAGTGTAAATATCAAAATTAATTTTCCTCACCTTGCTTAAGAAGAAAAAAAAGAATTCACATGATGTGTAGAGAAATATACATCTTTACAAGAAAGCTGGACTAGGTTATGCATATACACAGTATAATATTAAGAAGTAGAATTCAGGACTGCTTAGGGAAAACTAAGGGTTTACAATTGAGTTCATTAGTCATGTGATTTCTTATTCTTTTAAAAATAACTTCATTTTTAATAAAATCATATTCAATTATTGAGAAAATTATGCATTCTTTTATACTAATATTTATATACTAATTATATGTTTCATAAGGCTGAAATTGGATATCCAAATATCCAATTTTATTTTTCTGAAAACACAGAACAATACCAGAGGCCATTAATGTACAATAATCTGCCACTATACTAGTCTGCGTTTTGGGAAGCACAAAAATCTATAATCACTTCCCTCATATCCTATTATAGTGATATTAGAAAATATATTAATATCTAGAAAAATCAGTATGTAATAAAGAAAATGGATGAGCAATATAATTCTTAAAGAATTTTGAAACCAACTGAGGATGAAAATGTACTGATAGTAAGGAAAGATACAGTCTTAGAACAAGAAAACATGGTTATGACTTTCCTTAACCTATAAGGCTTTTAGGTTTTCTTTCCTTAAATTTGGACAGTATTACTTTATAATATCAATATAAAAATTTTACTTTTGTATAGTAGTTTCAACAAGGAGCATATAATATATTATGGACACTCAATGTAAGTTAATTCATCATGTTTCTAAAGTAGAAGAAATATTAATTTATTAGGGCTGATAAAATCTTAAATATGATTAATGGTAAAAATACACTTTTTACTTAAAAAGTAACAACATGGTAAAGACCTGAAGAAAGTCATTCAAATAATTTGTATAATTCCCTTCAAAATTTAGAACAGGTGTTTTTAGGCACAAATGTTTTTGACTAGCAAGAAGGTATAAATTCAAATTTATACCTACTGCCATCAAAAATATATGTTTCAGGGCCTCCCCGGTGGCGCAGCAGTTGAGCACTGGGTTGTGAAGCTGCCCGCAGCCTCTGCAGTGCCGGTTCGATCCCCAGATGCTCCCTGGCCACCAGAGGAGAGTCCCGCATGGCGCGCAGAACTCTCCTGCCGCCCACTGCTCCCCTCAGCAGTGTACTTCGGTCCTTCTGCCTACTCTGCTCCTCGCTCTGGCTCTGGTGGATTCTCTCACTCTCCCACGCTTCTGACTGTACCCAGTGCTTGTATAAATAAATAAACAAATAAATCTTAAAAAAAAAGTAAATCTAAAAAAAAAATATATATATATATGTTTCAGAGACACCAAGAAAGATCTGAGCCTTCATTGATTTTCAACAAAAGCATTAAGCCTATAGTAAATACTACATCGGTTTGTATATTTCTGAGAAAAATCCAGAAAAAAGCAATCATTCAAGACATTATCTACCTGAACCTCTAAACTATTGATGTACACAGGCAGTTGAGCCCTTTAGCTATTTGCAAATTTGGGCTGATAATCCAAATAAAAGCTATAGATCTAATGAAACTTCAGAGAATACTTATAGTAGAAACTAAAATTCTACTAGGAAATAAAGTAACAATGAATACATGTAGGTGCCCAAATTAAAGTATTAAAAAATGGGATGAGGATTAAATTGATATATAATGAGATGAGAAATGCATTCCATGACTGAATTGATGAAATTCACAGACCACATATATTTCAATTTATTTTTTAAATATTTAGTTATGAAATAAATAGACTTAAGATTTATTTTTCATTGCTTTTAGGATCTATCTGAGTATCTGTCAGATAAATGTATTTGGGCATTTTAGAGAAAACTGCAGCTTGGTAAGAAATAAATTGACAGTTTCATTATATTCAAACATATTGGCCATACCTAAACACACCTTTAAACCTGTGTTAGGGAGCTAGCTTCCCATCTTGCCTTAGTACTAGATGAATAACCTGTCCAAACAGTAAATAAATTTTGTTTCATGTAGACAATTTTGCTTAATACTTAATGCGCCAGTAAATTTAATTCAAGATACCCTTCTATGTAAAATAAACTGAATGTTTGATGTTTTCAAGACTTTTATAGATTTCACTGATTTATTTTGTGCTGACATAGAGAACCAATGCACAGATTCATGATAATGAAATGTGTGCTGTGAATATAATGCACCAACATTTCAATGATTTCATATTACAGAAATATATTCTCTTTTTAGCTGGAGAGCTCATGTTAGAACTGGCAAAACTCTTTCCAAGCCAGTCTTCTCAACTGTGGCTGCCTGTTGGACTCTATTTAAATACCTATTATCTGGGCCTCCCTGGTGGTGCAAGGGGTTAAGATGCAACCTATGAACCTATCCACAGCCACTGCATCACAAGCTCGATCCCTGGTCAAGGAGCTACCCACATGGCACAGCAGACCTCTCCTGACTTGCCCGCTGTTCCCCTCAGCAGTGTACTTCAGTCAGTCCACCTGTTCTGTTCCCCACTCTGTCTCTGGTGAGTCCTCTCACCCCCCACACCTTTGGCCTGTACCCAAGTTCTTGTATGCATAAATAAATAAATCTTTAAAAAAATATCTAATTTCTACTATAACACAGGTATTATGCACCACTTGTGAAAATCTATGGAAGTATATCCCAAACATTGGTGTTTTATGTAATATGCCTCAGGGACAACAAGGTTGGGAAACCACCCGAGCATTTCTCTGAAATCACAGCCTTCTCCATCCCCTGCTTTCACACAGAGCAGTGATTTCCAGTGGATGACAGTTTGCCCCTCAGAGATCATTTAACAAAGTCTAGAAATATTTTTGGTAGTCACACTTGGGGAGTATTGTTAGTACAGAGTCGGTAGAGGTCAATAATGCTGTTAATTATCCCGCAGTGAACAATCCCACACAACCAGTTATCCCCACACAGTGTCAATAATGTGAAGCTTGAGAAATCCTATAGTCGCTAATAACTCATGTCCTAGGAGACTGAAAACCAAGTCTATGTGTCTGTAATTGTTTTTGAATTATCTACTGTTTTTCTAATTCTGAAAATGCGGAGGAACAAAGGGCATTTCCTCTCTCCTTTCAACTTCAATTTGCTGCTTTCACTACTGTTCAACTTCCTTATTTCCAGTAGTTTGAATGTGGATGGATAAGGTAGTTCAGGTAACACCTTCCTACTCTTGCTCCCTCCCTTCACTCTTTTTTGCATATTTAATCCTTATTTATATGTTGCCCCAACCAACTGCATTATTATAATAATATAACTATGCTAAAGAAACCCTTCAAATAAATCAACCATGCCTGAGACACAGAATTCATACTATATAGTGGACCACCTACTGGTATAAATCATTATTGTCTTGTACTGGTGGCTGAGGAAAAGCAATACATTTTATAGAAAGGTTCATTTGGCACTGCAATAAAAAGTCATCCAACTATGAAATAATATATATTAATGTACTTTTTACATAAGATTGTCAAAAAATAGACTAATCACAAATTCACGTTGTTAGGAAGTTTGAGGTAGAAGGTGAGAGAAGTTGGTTAGAGAAAAACAAAGGGAGGTCATGGCTAGAGAAACTGAGGCATCATCTGCCTGGTGGGAATGACTTGCAGTCTCTGAATCTTTTCAGTGAAAATGGTATAAGGAAGCATAGAAAAGTTGAGGATATAA